TTGTCGTTTGTTGGTTGGCTGATTCTCTGAAGGAGCTTACGCGCTTGCTGCAAGGCGATTTGGCAGTCATGTGTACATATGGCTGTGTTTACTATCGAGCGGGCCGGCCTGCTGAGGACATTTTCATGTTCTCGTGCGCTAATTTTTTTTTGCTTTGCTTAAATTCCAAACTTTTAGCAAAAGTCGAATCTATTGCCCACACATAAATACATATGTAGTTGCTTGCCCGTGCTTCTCTGCTTGGTTTTCACTTCTCGTTCTCTCGGTTTCATATAAGACACACATGATCTTTATACACACACACACACACACTTTCTCAAACTATGTTCCTTGTTATCTTTTGCTTTACTTGGCTTCCTTTTCAACTTTCTTGTCTTTTCACGTGTTCATACGAGTACATAACTATCACAGCGCATAGTTCACTACAAAAGCTTCTTCTATACAATTTCTATGACGCTTTTGCCTCCCGCTCCACATACTTTCACTTGCCCGCTCGCCTTTTCTTTCTTCCACATCAAGCCTATGTACACAAGCTGGCCCTGTGTTTGCACTTCGTTGGCTATCTTCTGTCTTTGGTATTAATTTTTAATGTATGAAATTGTCAGCAAACATTTGATAAATGTGTGAAATATGCGCCTACCACTACCTGTGCCTCTATTGTTGAAATGTGTTTGATGTGTACTCAAGGGCGGTCTTACCTCAGAAAATAATTCTCGTCGTCGTTGTCAAGCTTTGTTGACCGTTGGGCTTTTCTTGGTTTGTTTTGCTGTTCGGGTTGTGGTTAAAGTGCAATGGGGCTAGAAAAGAGTTATCAAAGAAATATAGTTAACGTTGGAAAATTTTGAATATGCAAATGGATATTATTGATTTATTGCTTCAATAAGTTATCTACAACTTCTTGCGGGTGAATAAAAGGATATTAATATTAGTGATACAAATGTCGAGTAAACGTAGAGTGTGGCATATTCTAAGGCGTTGAGGCGGTGGAAAGTGCTAAATTTGCTCGTTGCATATTTTTTGGCGCAGGATCTTGAGTGAAACAAGTTTCGAAATACCAGCTGCTGGGCATAGTTTTAGCCGTATGGACTCGGAGACAAAACTCGAAATAACTAAAAACCGATCTGCTCTATGTACCGGTTCTAATGTAAAACAGCTTTGCGTGGCACATTTTATGGGGTAAAAGCTGGCAAACAGCGTTTTTGTTGAAAAATCCGCTTTTGATGTATTTGTGCGCAGAATTCTTTGCCGTTAAATATTTTTGCAACAAGAGNATTAATTTTTAATGTATGAAATTGTCAGCAAACATTTGATAAATGTGTGAAATATGCGCCTACCACTACCTGTGCCTCTATTGTTGAAATGTGTTTGATGTGTACTCAAGGGCGGTAGAATAAAGGTCTTACCTCAGAAAATATTTCTCGTCGTCGTTGTCAAGCTTTGTTGACCGTTGGGCTTTTCTTGGTTTGTTTTGCTGTTCGGGTTGTGGTTAAAGTGCAATGGGGCTAGAAAAGAGTTATCAAAGAAATATAGTTAACGTTGGAAAATTTTGAATATGCAAATGGATATTATTGATTTATTGCTTCAATAAGTTATCTACAACTTCTTGCGGGTGAATAAAAGGATATTAATATTAGTGATACAAATGTCGAGTAAACGTAGAGTGTGGCATATTCTAAGGCGTTGAGGCGGTGGCAAGTGCTAAATTTGCTCGTTGCATATTTTTTGGCGCAGGATCTTGAGTGAAACAAGTTTCGAAGTACCAGCTGCTGGGCATAGTTTTAGCCGTATGGACTCGGAGACAAAACTCGAAATAACTAAAAACCAATCTGCTCTATGCACCGGTTCTAATGTAAAACAGCTTTGCGTGGCACATTTTAAGGGGTAAAAGCTGGCAAACAGCGTTTTTGTTGAATCCGCTTTTGATGTATTTGTGCGCAGAATTCTTTGCCGTTAAATATTTTTGCAACAAGAACTTAGGAAAGGCTGCTCAAATACTTGTAAATTACCCATTTTTGCTACTTAGTTGCAAATTTTTAGCATTTAAATAGCCCGAATTTCAGAAATTGCTGAGCAGATTTTTTGTTTATTTTTGTTTATTTTTTTTTTTTTTAAGCGAACGCAACGACTGAAAGGAAACTTCTTTGGGTTATATTTTTGGGCTAAGAAATTTTGAAAAGTTTTAAGGCATATTTTTAGGCGTAATATTTTTTTTTAAATAGGTAGAATTACGCAAAATGTTTGCTGCTGTGCGTAATAGAAGCTTCAGGAACCATTTTGCCTCAATGCATAATTTTATGCACATGAGCTTAGAGAAATTCTGATTTTGCGTTAAATTCTGCACATAGCTTGTCGTTAGGCGTAGTAGTATGTTATACAAAATTTATGTCAGCATTTTTTCAGGTTTTTAATTTTTAAATTTCATTGCTTCTTTAAATTTTATGTTGCTGCTCCAGTTTTAATCGCTTTACACCTACACACATATGTCTTAAAACTCTTCACAATTTCACTACTTTTCCCACGTGGCTGTAACTGCTAGAAACTATTATATGTATTATGTATTTATAGCAGAACTTTCTATACACTCTGAAAGACTACCATCACTAATACTAC